CCCTACAGGTCTTTAGTGGGTTAAGAATAACCCCATAACATACAAATATAAAAACAATTCTTTTTTACTGTTTTTGCATGTCAACCTATTATATGTGTAATTTTAAGTCATGTGACCGCGGTCACGTGGTAATGACGCCATCTTGGCACCAATTTTTGTAATTTATGCCATATAGCTGCCTATATAATGTGAATAGCCAGGATTATTTGCTCTACACTTGAAAAAACCTATTGTTTGGCGAAACGCATTGTGTATTTTTACTTTGTTTTATATTAAAGTATTTTGTGACTACCTTTTACCTTGGGTTAGTTCATTTACTTTATATGTTGCTGTTTTATCCTGGCTGATTTTTATCATTATTTTTAACAAGATCCAGTACTTCAAAAGAAATCCCTGGTGGGGATTATTCCACCTACGCCTGGTTCATAGAGCAGTGTGCCTGCTCTGAACACTGTAAGTATGTTTCTTTTTATTTCTCTGTCATTTTATATATGGAAAACACTATGGGCCCTCTCTTGTGATTTTATTTTCATAAGACCAGCACTGCAAGCATCACTAGAGGAATATCCTACACGTGGGGAGTTTAAATACCACTGTATGCTGTTTTACTCAGAGCTGGTCATAGCTCTTAAAATTGTAAGTTGGCACTCTTAGGACCTCAGTGTTGTCTGTTGTTGCAGTATTACCTAACTTATTGCACCATTGGGTTTTTCCTTCTTTTATATATTTTATATGCTGACGTTTGTCTGAGAAGGTGTAAAGAATCGTGTGAAGACACCTCCAATTGCCCGGTAATATCCTACATGTGGGGAGTATTAAATACCACTGTATGCTGTTTTACCTAGAGCTGGGCATAGCTCTAAAAATTGTAAGTTGGCACTTCTCCACGTCTGTGTTGTTCGTGATCCTTTCAGCATTACGGTTTTGCACTATTGGTCTCCCCCTTCTCTGCTTTTGTATTCCATATTCGACTACGGAGATTCCAAGGCAAGAATAGAAGAACAGTCACTCAAGGTCTACACTGTACCTATAGAGACTTTTTTTACCATCTTTCATTTTATCAAGCGCACCCTGTATTTGTTGTCTCTTGTTCTCTCCATTTTCAGAAGGGTTTGAGGGTTACCCTTCCTCTCAGGTGTGCAGCTTTATCCCCCTTTGTGATCAGTACTGTAGCGCTGTTCCCTCCCCTCTTTTTCTTACTGAAGAAATGACACTCTGCTACAATGTAAAGTAGTAAGTGTATAACAGTGTAAATTTGCTGTCCCCTCAAAATAACTCAACACACCACCATTAATGGAAAAGTGAGAAGTATCGGTGTAGCGCTCTATACTAGTGGATGTGAAAAGAAAACGAATAAAGGAAAACCTTGCTGTACCTTGATGAATAATATATACTAATGGATAATCCAGAGTAGTCAGATATACCTTAAATACAAAACACAAATATACAGAACATAGTGTAACCTGTATACAAAATGTAAATAAAAATAAAGTGCATAAGTAACTCACTCACACTTTTCTGAGCTAATGTACTAGCTCAGGTATATGCGCCTTAGGGTCCGTAGAGGCGACCCTTCCCCTCCTTTTCGTCCAAATAGTCTCCAGGTATATAGTCCTAGGTAATAGGTATAGGAGGAGAGAATAGCGTAGTACAGTCTGATGTATATAAGGTATATTAAATAAATAATACCAATATACTCACAAACCCTGAGCCAATGTATCGGCTCGCTTCATAAGATGTATGTGGTTAAGGACCACAATCCTTCTTTATAATAGCAGGTAAGAATAAAAGCCGTAAGTGTGATAAAAAATATATATATAATTTATTGTATAAAAAGTATTACATAAATATAAAAAAATACACTATATCAATAAATCAACACTTGTGGCTATAGTCCAAAAGACAGTATAGTCTGCTCACTGTTCATTCAGGACGCGTTTCACCAAATTGGCTTCCTCAGCTGGAAAAAATGTGCATGAGACTCCAAGGACTCCTTCCTGCTTTTATATCCAATTGATTGGGGATTGTAGCTTGTATTTTTCGCGGGCAATCTCCATGGTAACGTGGTAACGGAGATGCCCTGTGTTACAAGCCTCTTTTTCGTCCGGTTACTTCCGGGTATGATCACTTCCGGTTTCGGCTGATCTTGCATTATGCGTTCCACGGTGCGTTCCACGGTGCGTTCCACCATGCGTTCCACCGGGCGGCTGTAATTCTAATGTCCCAAGCCATTTTCAAAAGTATTTTCCTCAAGCAAATCGTTGACAGCAAATCAGAAGGGCACAATAATATTGTTAATAATCTAATAGGGGCTGCATATGAAAAGGCATGAATATGTAAATCCCACACATATAGTTCTATAAGAAAAAGTGCATATCACAACTTATATAGCATGCAGATGAAATAACATATATATTGTTAACATATATGAAGCCTTAATTAGTTTATACATAAAGAAAGTTGTAAATGATATTAAAATATATTTTATCAATGGGTAAAACCATATAGAATAGTGAGGAGAAAGCAATTCTGTGCACAGATATTGGGTCCTAAAAAACTCTTATTCCAATAGATGCACCCCATAAAATTGAATAAATATATCTTTATATAAATAGGGAGATGCTTAAAAATTTAAACTTATAAATAAAAAGAGCTACAGGGAGAGTGGTGTCATGTAGTAACAATAAAAGATAAAACATTGAGAGATAAAAAATTAAAAGATCAATCCGCTAAAAAATGGCACATTTCAAAATCGGAATTTAAACCATTGGGGATGAGGCTATTCAGTTTAAAAATCCATTCCATTTCTACTTTGCTCAATTTTGAGTCAAAGTTGCCTCCTCTCCAATCTTTAGTAATCTTATTAATTCCTAAAAATATTGTACCTTTTATCTCACAGTTATGGTGGATTCTATAGTGTAAAGACACGCTATGTTTTTCAAAACCTTTACTAATGTTTCTACCATGCTCTTCTATTCTTAAATGTAGAGCTCTTGTTGTCTTCCCTATATAATTAAGCCCGCATGGGCATCTTATAAGGTATATAAGGTTTTTTGAATAGCACGTTATGAATTCCTTTATCGAATATTCCTGTCCTTCATTACATTTAAATTTCTTTATATGTCTTTTTCTATTTTCAGTTCTTTTACAAGCTAGGCACATCCCACATCCAAAGAAACCATTCTCTGTATTTAGAAAGGTCGTGTTAGTATTAGTTTTTTCTTTTACAAAACTGGAGGTTAGAGACTTTCTAAGATTATTTACTCCTCTATGGATAAAGCGAGGTTTTTCTGAAAGGCAACTCTTCAAAGCCGGATCTTGGAGAAGGATGTGCCAATATTTGGATATAATCTTTCTCACTTTATAATTACTTGAGCTATATGTACATATAAAGGGAATTTCATTCTTTGCATTATCCTTTTTTTCCTTATATTGTAAAATATCCTTTCTTTCTATTTCTTTAATTTCCTGTCTGGATACCTCTAATTTTTGTTCTTCATATCCCTTTTCTATAAAGTCCGATTTGATTTTATTAGACTGAATTTCAAACATCTCTACATCCGTGCAGTTCCTTCTTATTCTAAGGAATTGTCCCTTAGGGGCATTCTCCAACCACGGTAAGAAGTGACAACTGTCCCTTCCTATAAAGCTATTGGCTTCCACAGTTTTAAAATGATTTTTAGTCTTAATGCAATTATTTTCTATATATATATGTAAATCTAAAAAGATAACTTCCTGTTTGCTCCAATTACTCGTAAGTTGGATCCCCCATGTATTGGTGTTGAGAGTGTTTAAAAAAATAGATAGATCTTCTTCTTGTCCCTCCCATATGAAAAAGATGTCATCTATATAACGGCCATAAGTAAACAAGTTTCCCACCCAGTCCCGCTGTCCATAGATGAAATGGTCTTCCCAAAATGCCATAAAAAGGTTAGCGTAACTGGGGGCAAACTTGGTTCCCATGGCCGTTCCTTTGATCTGCAAAAAAAATTCTTCATTATACCAGAAGTAGTTGTTTTTTAGAATAAGTTCTATAGCTTCCAATAGAAATTGTGCTTTTATAGGAGTAAGGTCTGAGTGTTTTTCCATAAAATGTTTGGTTGCTTCACAACCATATTCATGTGGTATATTACTATACAATGCAGCTACATCGCAGGTTACTAGGAAACAATTATTGTTCCATCTGCATTCACTTAAAAGTTTTATCATCATCATAGTGTCCTTGATGTATGATTTTGTTTTTTTCACTATAGGTTGCAAATGTATATCAACATATTGGGATAACCTGCTTGATATCGAGTCTATTCCTGCCACAATAGGTCTTCCTGGGGGGTTTTCTAAATCTTTATGTACTTTAGGTAGAAAATAAAAGACAGGGATTTTGGGATATAAATTATTTAAAAATTGGAATTCTTTTTGATTTAAGATTTCTAAATTCAACCCTTTGTTAAAAAAGTTAAAAAATATTTTATTCATTTCAATACTCGGATTGTTACTTAACTTTTTATATGTTTTTATATCATTTAAAATTCTTTCAGCCTCTCTACAGTAAAACTCATAAGACATTAAAACTATACTTCCTCCTTTATCTGCTGGTTTTATTATGAGGTCTGTATCCTCCTTTAAATCTTTGAGTGCCTTCTTTTCCTGTATACTTAAATTCTGATTAAACATTTTCGTTTTCTCGAATTTTTTAACATCTGTCATGACCATCGTTTCAAAAGTGGTCATTTTTTCTGAAATCATATGTTTGGGATAAAATTGCGATTTTAATTTCAGATCTGTATGTGATTTATTTCCCGCTTCTATTTGGAGTTCTATAGGATTTTTCATAAAGAATTTCTTTAAGCATAGATTTCTCTTAAATCTGTTGAGGTCGACATAAAATTCGAATTTATTCAAAGGTTGATTAGGGGCAAATTTTAATCCTTTACTCAGTACTTTTTTATGGTCTTCTGTTAAATTTTTGTTACTGAGATTATGTATCCCTTTCATAGATGTTACTTCCTGTATAACCTCTCTCGTCTCTCTTTTTTTGGTGTGTTTTCCTCCTCTTGTCCCTCTGTACTTAAATCCCTTCTCCTTTTGGAATATGCTGTATTTGCCTGTTCTTCTTCTCTCTTGTGTCTTTCTTTGCCTCGACTCCTCCAAAACTCCTCATCCTCCACTTCATCTAATACTTGAAATCTATTGCTGGTTTGAATGGGTTCCTCTTTTTTATATGGTTTATAGGTGTTATAGGGTCTATGCTCTCTTTTTTCCTGTCTATATTCTGGTCTCCTCTCTTGTCTTTCATCCCTATACTTCCTTTCATTCTCTTGCCTGTCTCTAGTATGCCAATCTCTTCTCCTCTGTTCTTTTTGTTGCCAGTATGGGACTCTCACTCTTTCCCAATCATTATACGGTCGTCTATTGTAATATTGTCTAGTGGGATAATTCTTATATTGATCATCTCTACTCTCTCTTGGTTTTAGATAGTGTGTATTGGATGTCTGTGTATAGTCAAAATTGATCTCTTTTCGTTCTTGCCTTTCGGCATTTTTGTTCGCTATAGTTCTCCCTTCTGATTCTATTATACCTCTTTTTTCATAATGTTTATCAGTATTATTGTTATTATATTTTGAAAAAGTTCTGACTTGTTTAGTTTTGTAGTCTCTAATATCCCTATGGTATTTGTTTTTCTTATTTTCTATTACTTCTTTTTCTATTTTATCCAGATTGTTTTTAATATCCTCGGTTACATTATCAAATTCCTCTTGATTTAAGGAATTGAGTATTTCATTCTGGCACTTATCGATCTCTAGATCTAATTCTTTTATGTTCTCTTTTCGTCTTTTGATAATAAGGGTAATGGTGGTAATGGAAAAACCTTCCAACATGTTATTCCATTCTTCCATAAAACCCATTATGTCTTTATCAAAAGTTGGCATTTTGAAGTATTTTAGACCTCTTGGAGTAATACCATCTTTTAAATATTTTTCTAATGTAGCTATTTCCCATTTAATTTTAAGCTCTTTTTGTAATAATTTTTCAAGTTTATCACAATTGTTATCATACTCTCTTCTTTTTCTATCTAATGGTTGGAGATTCCAATTGGCAAACTCATTTTCCATGTCCACTAAAGTGTCTAAATCGTTGGCAACAAAACTGAGTACACCCCTAAGTGTAAATGTCCAAATTGGGCTCAAATTGTCAATATTTTGTGTGAACCCCATTATTTTCCAGCACGGCCTTAACCCTCATGGGCATTGAGTCCTCTTCCACTCCTCCATGATGACATCACAGAGTTGGTGGATATTAGAGAACTTGCACTCCTCCACCTTCCGTTTGAGGATGCCCCACAGATGCTCAATAAGGTTTAGGTCTGGAGATATTGTCATGTTCTCGATCAGGTCAGATAGGAGACGATTGACAGGTTTAACAGAAGTGATTTTATTCATAGCTTTTGACATTATAACAGTCTTTTTATTAGAATAAATAAGAAAAAGGGAGAAACATTAAGGCAAAATGCCCTATAAAGAAAACAACCAAGAGTACAAATGATAAAGCTGGAGAAGTATAGTGAAAATAACAAGACAGATATGAGTAACTTTTAAAGAATCAAGAATGAAAGGAACACCTTAGATTTCAAATTTCAGCAATGTCCAGATAGTGGGTTTTGCAGGATTGTATTTATTGAAGCAATTCAGGCAAGTACAGGAGAGCTGATAGTAATCCAATTTAGGAAGAAGAAAGGATTGTAGCAATTCAAGCAGGATGCAATGCAGGTAAGTACAGAATCGCTTACATGAGCCAGGATCTTCAGGTACATTACAATGAAGGTAAGTACAGGAGAGTTTATAGTAATCCCAATTAGGAAGGAGTAATGGTTGTATCAATTCAAGTAGGATGCAATGCAGTTAAATACCTTTAGGTAGGATGCAATGCAGGTAAGCACAGGAGAGCTGATAATCAAAATTAGGAAGAAGAAAGGATTGTAGCAATTCAAGCAGGATAGTACAGGATCTATCACAGGAGCCAGGATCTGAAGTTCTTGGTTTGAACACCAACTTCAATGTAATGGCCTCTTGCTTTGTTGGGTGTGGCCATTTATAGCAGGACTTATTAACATAGGATACAGGTGAGTATGATGTGAGTAGTGGCTAGGAAGGCCACTAGAGGTGAAATCCAGGAACTGCATTTAAAGGGACAGAAACAAAAAGAAAAAAAGTATTGATGTCATCATAAGAATGTGACAGACATGCTTGGCCAGTCCATCACCTTTACCTTCAGCTTCTTTAACAAGGCAGTGGTCATGTTGGAGGTGTGTTTGGGGTCGTTATCATGTTGGAATACTGCCCTGCGGCCCAGTCTCCGAAGGGAGGGGATTATGCTCTGCTTCAGTATATTACAGTACATGTAGGCATTCATGGTTCCCTCAATGAACTGTAGCTCCCCAGTGCAAGAAGAACTCATGCAGGCCGAGACCATGACTCTCTCACCATCATGCTTGATTGTAGGCAAGACACACTTGTCTTTGTACTCCTCACCTGGTTGCCGCCATACACGCTTGACACCATCTGAAGCAAATACGTTTATCTTGGTCTCGTCAGACCACATGACATGGTTCCAGTAATCCATGTCCTTAGTCTACTTGTCTTCAGCAAACTGTTTGCAGGCTTTCTTGTGCATCATCTTTAGAAGAGGCTTCCTTCTGGGACGACAGCTATGCAGACCAATTTGATGCAGTGTGCGGTGTATTGTCTGAGCACTGACAGGCTGACCCCACCCCTTCAACCTCTGCAGCAATGCTGGCAGCACTTATACATCTAATTCCCAAAGACAACCTCTGGATATGATACTGAGCATGTGCACTCAACTTCTTTGGTCGATCATGGCGAGGCTTGCTCTCAGTGGAACCTGTCCTGTGAAACCGATGTATGGTCTTGCCCACCGTGCTGCAGCTCAGTTTCAGGGTCTTTGCAATCTTCTTATAGCCTAGGCCATCTTTATGTAGAGCAACAATTCTTTTTTTCAGATCCTCAGAGAATTCTTTGCCATAAGGTACCGTATTGAACCTCCAGTGACCAGTATAGGAGAGTGTGAGAACAATAACACCAAATTTAACACACCTGCTGGCCATTCACACCTGAGACCTTGTAACACTAATGAGTCACATGACACCGGGGAGGGAAAATAGCTAATTGGGCCCAATTTAGACATTTCCACACAGGAGTGTACTCATTTTTGTTGCCAACGATTTAGACATTAAAAATTATCAAAATGTAATTTAATAATTTTTATTATATCAAAAATTTATATCTTGGCACTGTTTCCCCGAATAATGATATAAAGTTGAGAATGTCTCACAATTTTTAATTCTCTTAGATCCTAGAAAAAGTTTCACTAGAGGATTTTTACTTCACACATTAATCACAAATTAATTATAAAAATATAATTTATTGTGACAATAATAATAAAAATAATAGTAATATGTAACATGTGTGACAATCAGTGAATAATTAGTAAAACATAATTATACAATTTGGCAATAGTTTAAACACAATACAGACAGCTAAAAGCAACCAGTTGTCAACAATTTAACAAGATTTATGATAGGACACTGTTTAGAAATCACTTCACAGAAAGACAAAACTTCACAGAATACAGCAGAGCAGTGAAAAGCAATAAAAAACTTTGACTGACAGTTAAATCCACTGAATTAACTCTTCCACTGATGGCTACAATCCTCATAGGCAATATAATATTATATTGCAAATTTACAATTAAAGTAATGTCAGACCCGATCATTTGACCATTCCTAGGACCATCCAATAAGAATAATTCTACCAGATTTTACGTTTGCCGAATTTTAACTTTCCTAATTAAGATTTACTATTTTATATCAAAACAAGTCAATACCTCTGGATAAAAAATTTGGTAAACTAACATTTGGCAAATTTACCATTAATATATTGTTATCTTTATTCCACCTGCAGGAGTGGAATTTTTATAACCATATATTCCTTAGCTAATTATGATTTCTAATAATTGAAATATGACCAATATGTATCCAGATATATATTCCTGCTATTAGTAAAATAATAATTAATTTAATTAAATAAAACCAGCATAATTACCAGTTATGTCATAGATTTTCTCTTGGATGTGTAGATATGTCCCAGGAATTTCGAATGCAAGTATGATGTATAGAGAATTGTATGGAAATAGATAACAGTTTTCAGAGTTTTGAAGTTGTTAGTTGGACAGTGTAATAATAAGAATTAGGTGTGTTGAGAGTTGAGAGTTTCTTGAGTACAGTCCAAGAGTCAGAATATGTTTCAAAAAGCCCGAATCTCCCTCTCTTCTCTTTGTCCTTACTTTTTAAAGGACCAATAGGGAATTGTGGGTGTGTCTTCCCTACAGACTATCATCTAGATTTTGGTCAGTAGGTGGCGCAATTACATCACCAAAAATTCTTGTCAGGGGGTCCATTTACCTTTTTGTATAATGGGTTAACTGAAATTGGTGATGCTTTTTACGTCATTTTTGGTTATCTTTATGGCCCCTATTAATCAAAATTCCTGCCAATTTCAAAGGCTTTGGTTCACTCTTACCCAGATAGAGCATCTGCAATTTGATCGTAATTTTAGAATTGACACCTCCTAACCTTAATTTCACCCTTTAGTAATGTTCCATTATTTTTTTATTTTTTTTAAGAAAGTAAAATTAATTACTTAGTGTTATCTGTCATTGGTGTCTGGTTTTCTTGTGTGAAACTGTGTTTAAGATTATTTATACTCCACTAACATTAGTAAATAATGATATTTCTTCATTGATATTTATCCATGAATAGTCTATATTATTAACATAATACTAATTATATATGATTAATATCATATAGTAAGTTATAAGTGGATAGTGTGTTTGTGTGTGTGTGTGTGTGTGTGTGTGTATATATATATATATTTCTGGGTTATAGCATTCCATCCCCCTTTTGACTGTTAGACATCATACCTTATCTTAGGTTTTATCTTTAATGTTTACATTAATTGCATTCCTTAGCTCAGTTTTGAATGACTAGAGTTACAGAAATAGAAATCGTGTGTCTGTCTTAGCCTTGTTATACAAAAATGGAGTCACCTATAAATATACTGACAACAGGCTTTACACTTACTACTTTACACTGTAGCCAGGGCCGGCGCTTCCTATAAGGCGAACTAGGCAGCTGCCTAGGGCGCCATATAGGAGGGGGACCTTTAAACGCTGGCCCTTTAAATGCTGCAGCCACCTGAGCACTCTGTAAAGAGCCTCAGGTGGCTGCCGCACTGCTTCTCTCCTCACCTCTCCTTCCCTGTAGCGTAGCCGAGCTCCTCTCTGGTCCGCGACCCGGCCGGACTGACAGGAAGTGCACACTCAGTGTGCACTTCCTATCAGTCCAGCCGGGTACAGGAAACAGCAACTCCTGCTCCGTGGACCGGAGAAGAGCTCGGCCACGCTACAGGGAAGAGGAGGTGAAAGGAACACAGGGAGGGAGGGGAGGAGGGAGGGAGTAAGAAGAAGGGGGGTAGGGGTAGTAAGAAGAAGAGGGGGAGTAAGAAGATGGGGAAGGGAGTAAGAAAGAGGGAGGGGGGAGTAAGAAGAACAAGGGGAGAAGAAGAAGGGGAGTAAGAAGGAGGGAAGGGGAGTAAGAAGAAGGGGGATCTGGGAGTAAGAAGAAGTGGGGAAGGGTAGTAAGAAGAAGAGGGGAGGGGGAGTAAGAAGAAGAGGGGAGTAAGAAGAAGGGATGGGGAGTAAGAAGAAGAGGGATGGGGGAGTAAGAAGAAGAGGGGAGGGAGTAAGAAGAAAACCGGAGGAGGGGGGGGTAAGAAGAAGAGGGAAGTAAGAAGAAGAGGGATGGGGAGTAAGAAGAAGAAGGGAGGGGAGAAGAAGAAGAGGGGACAAAGAAGAAGAGGGAGGAGTAAGAAGAAACCGGAGGAGGGGGGAGTAAGCAGAAGACAGGGAGGAGGGAGAGGGAGTAAGAAGAGCACAGGGGTTGAGGAGAAGGGGAGATGAGGAGAACACAGGGAGGGGAGTAAGAAAAGGGGAGGGGAGTAAGAAGAAGAGGAGGGAGGCGAAGAAGGGGAAGGGAGTA